GAAATCCTTAGCGATGGGGGCAGGTGAGAGGACACACCTTAAGATTCTCCCAAATCGACCCGGGATGTGGGCCATGCCTCCAGTGGCCTGAGATGCCAACATAAAGAAAAAAAAAATGACTCCCCACGTCCCCTGGCTCAAACCCAGTACAAAAGTGACTATTTACAATGAAGGCGTGGGGAGTGTGTGGGGGGCACAGGAAGGAGGGGGTCAGAGTGAGCACTCCATTTGAGGGAGGCCACGCCCCTGGACCCGCCTTTTAAAGGGACAAAGCCAAACAGCATAGATACTATAGAGGATCTCAATCCCCAGGGTGGGGCAGACCCTAGGGGTGAGGGATGGGGGTGGGGCATGGGATGGGGTGCGGGTGGGGAGGCATGGGTGGTGGGAGGAAATGGAGGAAAGGTAGCAACTGCCCCTAGCCTCCCCCCTCCCCGCTGCCGGACACACAGTTTTCCGTGGGATGAACACAGAAAGGGTTAATCAAAAAGAGTTCGATGAGCGAGTCTGACGGTCGAGTGGGGCGGGCTGGAGCAATGAGGCCGCAGGTCCCGGTGGCCGGTGGTGATGGAGTCACTTAGAAGATGAGAGGTTGGTGGTTTTGGGGGGAAAGGTGGGGTAGGGAAAGGGGTGGGGGAGGGGGGGTTAGGCAGTCCCCCCCAGTTATCTCTGGGAGACAAGTGTCCTGGACTGGTTGAGAAGGGATTAAAAACCAGCAGTCTTCACCACCATAAGCCCGCAGATTCTTTTCCCATTTCCCTCCCTGCCACCCAGCAATCTCCAATGCAACTTGAAGGGGACACTAAGACGGACCATACACACGAGCAGCAGCGCCCAGAGAGAAACCCTCTCCAACCACAGCGTGGAGACAGCTGACCACAGTGCAAAGGGATCACGATAGCAGGGCTGGGTGTTGTCACCCCAGCAAACCAGCGTCCCTGGCCCACCTGTGCCCCAACTTCGGTATCGCGATCCTGTTCTCCCCATCGTGACATCCAGTCCAGGCTTTCAAGACAGCCAGCCCGAGTTCCAGACGGCGGGGGCAGGTGCCTTCGAAGGCCTGGCTGGCTGTCCCGACAGGCGACAGGCGTGCACTCAGTCAGCAGCCTGGACGCCCCAACTGCCATCCTCATAGCCACTCTTGTTAATACTTTTGCCACTGCACAGTCTATCACAGCCTCGAATCCCGGTCCTGAAACAGCAATCATCCATTCAGGGGGACTCCTCTCATTTTCCAAACAATTGGCCACCAATCAAAACCAAGTAAGGAGGAGGATGTGGGATGGAGGAACAGGGAGGAGAAACAGAACGAGGGAATACTGAAGGATTTGGTGGTCCAGAGGAGAGAGGAAATACACCTTGGAGATAAGCTGCACCCTACTTTTCCAAGTAGAGGTCCCCAACCCTCTATAGGTCGGCTTTTATCAAGATCCACTTGGGATACCCATAATTCCCACCTACAAGTCCAGGGTAGGTGTTAGGGCTGATAGAAATGGCAAAGCCATTGCCTTCTGATCACCACCCCTAATAATTATTGCAGTGAAGCCTCCTTGCCCATGTAGAGATGGCTGGGACAGGGCAGAAGAAGTTGGCTGGGCAGGTTGGCTCAGAGCCCCCTGAGATGGGGGATGACGGAGGTTAATTTGGCACACTGAACCCCCTCTTCTCATAGGTGCTTTGAGGTCCTTCTCTGGAATCCAGTTGGTACCGCCCCTTGGGCTAGAAGAGGGGGAGCTGAGCTTGTCTCCTTCTCCCCGGTTTCCATAGATTTGCCAGGAAGTTGGCAAGTGGGATTCTCCTTGGCTGGTGGAATTTGGGGGGATCCAAAAGGATAGGGATAAGCTGAAAAGGAGAGCTTTTTTCTGTCTTTTTTTTTTTTTCTTACAAAGATTCTAAGAAAAACTCAGGGTGGGAGGGCTTTGGAAGGGGGACCCAATTTAGCCCCATGTCCACACTTTTTCAATGCCTCTTAGGGACCTCCTCAAAGAGAAATGGTCCAATTTCCTCCCCTCTATCCAAGGTCCTCTCCCCACAAAGCGGCTCAGTTCCAAGGAAGTTTGGCACTTTTTTTTTTTTTTAAATGGGGAAATTGGGGAGAGAGAGTTGAGACATTTGAGGAGAGGAGGAAGACAGACAGAGACTAAGATAGAGACAGGACAGAAAACAATGGGAACCACACAGAAGAAAAAAAAAGAAAGTCATAGGGAGCCAGACAAAGAAAGGGGGGAAGACGCTTGGAGAAGGTATGGGAAGCTAGAGGGCAAATGAGAAGGAATCGGGAGACAATTCAATGCAGCAAACACTTATTAAGCACCTACTTGGTGCTGAAGAGAAGGGTGCAAGGAGGTCACTCAGAGACTCTGAGATCGGATTGGCTAATAGGGAGACAAAGAAAAAAAAAGAGGTGATGGGTTTTTCAATAACCCCCATCCCTGGCCCCACATCTGTGTCCCCTCTGGACAAACTGCAGCACAAAAGATTGAGGTCAGATTGCAGAAGAGACTTTCAAGAGATGTCAAAGATGGTAGAGTGAGTTTCCCAGGGTAAGATGGGGAAAGGTGTGTGGCTCTCCACTCACCAACACGGTGAGCGAACTAGCTCACTGAGCTAGCAAACTATACCTTTCAGATCGCCCTGGCTGGCTGGGTAGGGAGTCCCCAAGAAATATGAATAGGGAGGGGTTGTTACACAGACATTCCAAGCAAACACTTTGCAGGAGGCCCAGCCTCCAGAGATGTGTCTGTGTGAGAGGAGTCCTGGACCCGGCTGATTGGGACCCAGACTCCAGCGAATAGGTTTGTAGAAAGTGGCTGCCAAGCAGAGGATGCAAATGATATGCAAATGAGCCCATTCAGATCCCACCTCCCCACTCCCAGACCTTACTTCACCTCTCCCTGGCTCCTTCCCCTCCTCATAGGGGCCTGGGGGGCTGTAGAGGGATATTCCAGCTAGCTACTGTAATACTCGCGTGCGGGTAGAGATACTGTGAAATACTGTAAGGTCTTTTGAGAGGTGGAGGGGAGCAATGCCGCCCCCACCTCTAACCCCAAGAGCCCCCAACGGTAGTAGAAGATATGTACAAAGTTACATCAAGAATTGTTTTGGCACTCAGATCTCCATCTGGGTTCAGTCTGGAGATTAGGGGTGGGGCAACAACAAGGGGAAGTGGGGGATGGGGAGGGGGAAGTGGGGCCTGCCCCTCACCCTGGAGATGACAAGGGCATGGAAAAAGTCACCCCAGTGCCCAAGTTACAGCCTCCCATTGGGTGGAAGGGCCGGGGTGGGAAATTCAGTGCAAGGTACCTCGAAGGCTATTGCTTTCTAGGGATTTTCACATTTTGATTTGGGGGTGGCTCTCTAGCAAGGGAGAGGGATCTCCTAGGCTTTAGGGGCAAGAATTGTCTCTGTGGCTTTTCTTCCCTCCTTTTTTAGGAGAGAGACAAGGAGGCTGGATTTCCCCCAAAGCCATAGAGAGGAGAAGGGTCTGGAAGACCTAGGAGGGGGACAAATGGGGGAGAGGGTGGGCATGGGGCGCCCCTCCCCCAGAGATGCTGATGATGGAACCAGGGCACTGGGCGCCCTGCTTTGGGTTGGAGAAAGTGGAGGTGGTCTCCAAGGAGGAGGGGGAGATGGGTGGGGGTAAAGGGAGGTCTTAGCTATCCTAGTCTATAGGGTTGTCAGGCCCTGAAATCTCAGTCTGCCAACAGGTCCTTAGAGCTGACCACAGCCACAGTACTCAGGGAGCCACTCCCAAACCAACTCTCAAGGCCGCCTGGCTTGTCAGACTCCATCAGAACCTTCTAGTTCTCCAGAGCCCCTGGTGAGCACACCAAAACATTCTGATCCATCAGACATCACTAAAGCATGCCAGCTTGCTGGAAGCCACCAAACCAATCTAACCTATCAGACCACACAAAGCATTCTGGTCCAAGGGACCCTTCCATGGCTCACTGAACTCTACACCGGGCCACACTGGCCTGACAGAGCCACCACACATTTGGCTCACCCAATTCAACGAAACAAAGCCACGCAGACACAGGCATGCACACAAAAGGCAGGGGTGGGAAGGGAGGTCTTTAACAGTAGTTTGCACTAGGTCCATCTCCCACCCCTCCCTCCAGGGCGAGTTCGCAGACTTGACGTGTTTGAATGGAGATGACCCTGACAATATTGGGTTTTTTTCCCTTAGAGTTCTCCAGATTGGATCCAAGTCCCGTGCCTTATTCTCTTCCTAGGAAGACCCCCAGGCCAACACCCACCAAAGAAGGGTGTGGAGGGAGAAGGCAGGTCAGAGACTGGTCACTGTCCAATACAGGAAGTACATGCTTCAGTCTAATGACATCACAGGAAGTGACCTCTAGGCACCACCAGAAGTACATCTTCCCATGATATCACCAAAGTGACCTTCAAGGAAGAACTCATTGAGACATCACAGGAAGTACCTGCTCTCTTACGTTCACAGGAAGTAACCTCTGGGGAACTGCTTCCTGTGACATCATAAGAAGCGCCCAGAAGCACCCCAGAAAGTACTCAGTGACATCACAACAGAGGCCCTCATTGCCATTACTCTAAACCATCAGAGATACCACACCAAGTTGATCCAGCCTCTTGCGAGTCTTGCCCACAGGACTGGCCCAATCCCAGAGCTGGCATCCTTCCCAGCAGCACCGTCCCTGCCCCCCATACAACCTGACAACAAAAGAGTGAACATTCCCACCTAGAGGGACAGCTCCAGTGGGAGGAGAGTAGCTGAGAAGATCTGGGAACTCTGGGGTCCCTGCTCCAAATGCCCCATTTCAGCTCAGACGCCTCTGCTACCTCTACTCCCATGGCTTCCCTCAGATCTAGAACTGAAAGCAGAGAGGTGGGGTATTGTGTTTTGGGGAAGCCCCTCATTCTGGATGACCCAGAGGCTCCCTCCCCTCCTCCCATATGGAAACAAAAACTTATAAAGGGGGAAAAATCCTTACCAAAAAAAAAGAAAAAAAAAAGGAGGGAAAGAAAGAGAAAATAACGCTTTGTTTTCTATTAAAATCAACAAAATGCAATATATACAGATATCACACAGACCTGGGCCCTGGGACAGGAAGGGTCAGGCCCAGCCAAGCACAGGGAGGGAGGAAGGAGGGGTCAGTTCCGGGCTGGGGAGGGGGCTTCTGAGCCCCCTTCCCAACCGTCACTCAATCCTGCCTATGACTACCAGAAGGGGAGGGTGCAGTCGGGCCTACCCCAGCCCCATCCCAAGAGGAGCAGGACTACACCAAGCTGAGGTCAGGAGTTGGGGGGAGGAGGAGAGGGAGGAGGAGGAGATGGGAGGAGAGAGAAGGGTGGGAGCACACACCACAGGCCTCATCCCACTTTCTGGGGGTTTGAGGCCCTCACTCCCTGCTCGTAGGTGACCCGCTGACTGATGAGGTATTGAGCGGCTTGCGTGGCCGCGGGGCTGCCCGTGATGGTGACCCGCCGGTTCCGCGTGCCTGGCAGGAACTCGCCCTTCTTGGAGATCTGGATGCGAGCGCCCGTCAGCTCCTGGTACTCCACCAACGTCTTGCCCCCCTTCCCCAGGATGGCTCCCACCAGGTTCTCAGGCACCGCAATCTCCACCAGCTCCTTGGCACTCTCAGCCGCCAGCTTCTCCGCTGTCAGGAAGCCCCCGGCCGCACCGGCCGCGGCTGCAGCGGCCACCAGCGGACCGCCCCCTCCGCCCGCCCCGCCGCCCGCCCCGGCCCCGAGGTAGCCGTTGGCGGCTGCGGCCAACGCAAAGGACCCCAGGGCTCCGGGAGGCGGGGGCGGCGGCGGGGCGGCCCCTCCAGCTGGCCCGGCCCCGGCCTCGCCCGCGTAGGATGCCAGGAGGTTGGCGGCGGCAGCGGCTGCGGGGTTGGCCCCGGCGGCCACGGCAGCCAGGACGCCGGAGGCTGCGGCCGAGTTGAGGCCCAGGCCCAGGGAGTTGGTGTTGTAGCCGTAACTGGCCAGCGTGTTAAGCGCCGTGCTGATGGCCAGCAGGTCGGTGCCTGAGAAGGCGGGCAGCGCGGCGGGAAAGGCTCCCACGCCAGCCAGCCCGGCGGGGCCCAACAGGCCGGAGGCAGCGGCGGCCGACGCTGCGGCCGCGGCTGGCAGCACATCCGCGGGGCTGGCGTACGGAGAGCCGGTGGGATTGGAGTTGGCCACGGGGCCTGCCACATTGGCGTAGCTGATGTTGAGGCAGCTGCTGCTCTGGGGGTCTTCTTGTACCTTCTGCACGATGGCGCTCACAGCCTTGTGCACCTGCTCGGGCTCGCCGCTGACCGTCACCACGCGCTCCTGCAGGTTGATGCCCTCTGGCTTCTGGGACAGCTGCACCCACGCTCCTGACTGTTCCATCACGGCTTTCACCGTGGCGCCCCCCTTGCCGATGATCAGGCCCGCCGTGCTGTTGGGGACGATCAGCTTGGCCTGCGTGGGGAGCAAAAGAGAGGGTCTTTAATTTTATTTTTTAAAATTAAATTAAATTAGGCCGGGCGCGGTGGCTCACGCCTGTAATCCCAGCACTTTGGGAGGCCGAGGCGGGCAGATCACGAGGTCAGGAGATTGAGACCACGGTGAAACCCTGTCTCTACTAAAAATACAAAAAATTAACTGGGCGTGATGGCGGGCGCCTGTAGTCCCAGCTACTCGGGAGGCTAAGGCCGGAGAATGGCGTGAACCCGGGAAGCAGAGGTTGCAGTGAGCTGAGATCACGCCACTGCACTCCAGCCTGGGTGACAGAGCAAGACTTCGTCTTAAAAAAAAAAAAAATTAAATTGAATTAAATTAGGCTGGGCACGGTGGCTCTCGCCTGTATTCCCAGCCCTTTGCCGGGCTGAGGCAGGCAGATCACTTGAGGTCAGGAGTTGCAAACTAGCCTGGCTAACACGGTGAAACTCCGTCTCTATAAAAATCCAAAAGTTAGTCAGCTGTATGTTAGTTAGCACATGCCTGTAATCCCAGCTACTCAGGAGGCTGAGGTAGGAGAATTGCTTGAACCCAGGAGGTGGAGGATGCAGTGAGCTGAGCTCGGGCCATTGCACTCCAGCCTGGGTGACAGAGGGAGACCCTTTCTCAAAACAAAATAAAATAAAATTACATATATATAAAATACATATGTAGAGACGGGGCCTTGCTATGTTGCCCAGGCTGGTCTTGAACTCCTGACCGCAAGTGATCCTCCTGCCTTAGCCTCCTAAAGTGTTGGGATTACAGATCTGAGCCACCAAGCTGGCGAAGGGAGGGTCTTTACAGTGGCTGGAGACTGCGAAGTCTCAGGTCATTCCCCACCTCTCCTCTCCAGTGTCCAAAATCAGGCCCAGCATGGCCTTTTGACATGCACCAGTATGGTCCAACTGGTTGTTAAACATATTGAAATATTTCAGGTCAGGTGCAACAGCTCAGGCCTGTAATCCCAGCACTTTGACAGGCTGAGGTGGGAGGATCACTTGAGCCCAGGAGTTTGAGACCAGCCTGGGCAACATAGCAAGACCTTGCCTCTAACATTAATTTTTTAAAAAAACTGAAATATATCCACAACAGTTGGTTAATGAATAGCCCCTCAACCACCCTGTCCCATGTACCTGGGACTCTTGGTGCCTCCTCTGTGTCCAGCATCTAAAAGCTTAATGGCTGATCCAATGGGGCTTTCCAGGAGCTCACTCCAAGCTTGCACTGTGGCCCACCCATGCCTTTTAGTGTTAAGTACTCTGACTTCCAGCCCTCGAAAAGCCTTCATTAAGCTCTTACTTTACAGATGAGCCTCTTGAGGCCCAAGAGGTGAAAGGACTTGTCCTAAGGCCCCCCAGTTAGTGACGGAGCTGAAATCTAGGCTCTTGGGTTCCTGATCTATTGTGCTCCCCTAGACATGGTCTTCTCGTTTAACTCTCTGCTGTTATGGGCTGAAATTGTGTCCCCTTCAAATTCATATGTTGAAGGCGTAACTCCCAGTACTTTAGAATTTGACTATATTTGGAGAAAGGGTCTTTAAAGAGGTAATTAGGTAAAAGGGGGTTATTAGGGCAGGCCCTAATTTACTGACCGGTGTCCTTATAAGCAGAGATTAGGACACAGATGCACACAGAGGGAACAGTGTGTGAAGGCACAGGGAGAAGAAGGTCAAGGAGAGAGGCCTCAGAAGAAACCAGTCCTGCTGACAGCTTGATCTTGGGCTTCTGGCCTCCAGAGTCATGAGATATAAATACCTGTTGTTTAGACCACCCAGTCTCTGTCACTTTGTTATGGCAGCCCTAGCAGACTAATCTAGTTGTCGTATCTGTAAAATGAAGATAACATGAAGGCTTTTGTCTGAGAAGGCAGACGTAAGTGGATGTCTTGGATGTCACACAATGGATCAGGAACCCAAGAACCTAGCTTTCAATCTCCTTCTAACTCCTGGGAGGGGAACACTCCAGAATGAAGAAGTTGGTCATTTGAATATGGTGACCTCCCCTCTCTCAGTTGCAGAGCAGCCCATCCTTCAACCACCCATCTGTCCAAGCATCTGCAAGTCTGATCAATCTTAATTCCTGCGGAGATATTTCAAAACCAGTCATCTCCTTTTGCACCTCCAAGAGCATTTCTACATAGAAATTCCTCCCTCTCAAAAATCCTTCCCATGTCCCCTTAAGCCCTGGGGGTGTCTGAGAAATTTGTGGAGGTGGCAGTTTTGGTTGTTGCAAGGACTGGGGGGAGATGTGGACTGTCAGTGGGGAGGACCATAGGTGTCTGTACCCCACAATGGAGAGTCAGTCCCTCACAAGGAAGAGCTGTCCCAGGCCCTATATGTCTACTTTTTTTTTTTTTTTTGAGTCTGAGTCTCATTGTGTCATCCAGGCTGGTATATGCCGTGGCGCGATCTTGGCACACTGCAATCTCCAACTCCTGGGTTCAAGCGATTCTGCTGCCTCAGCCTACCTAGTAGCTGGGATTACAGGCACCCACCACCATGCCCAGCTAAATTTTTTGTATTTTTAGTAGAGACAGGGTTTCACCATGCTGGCCAGGCCAGTCTCGAACTCCTGGCCTCAAGTGATCCAGCCGCCTCAGCCTCCCAAAGTGCTGGGATTACAGGCATGAGCCACCACACCCAGCCACTATATGACTACTTTTGAAGGTTCTGTTGGACATTCATGCGGATGAAGAGCCTGTTTTTAAATCTCTGAGCCCACGTCTGGGCATGGTGGCTCATGCCTGTAATCCCAGCACCTCGGGAGGCCAAGGTGGGAGGATCACTTGAGCCCAGGAGTTGTAGACCTGCCTGGGCAGCATGGCATGACCCCATCTCTACAAAAAAAAATTAAAAACATTAGCTGGCCTGGTGGCACATGCCTATAGTCCCAGCTACCCAGGAGGCTGAGGTGGGAGGATCACTTGAGCCTGGGAGGTATAGGCTGCAGTGAGCCGTAATTGTGCCACTGTACTTCAACATGGGCAATATAGTGAGACCCTGATGCCAAAAATAAATAAATAAATAAATAAATAAAGTCTCTAAGCCCAGAACCCAACTGACACAGTGAGACCTTATCTCAAAAATAAATAAATAATTAAAATAAATAACAAAACAAAACAGAAAAAAAATCTCTGACCTCAGAGCCCAACCCCATGATACACGTAAGTACAAGTATTGTTTGCATGGTTTTAAGAGCTACTGAAATTTCCAGGAATGCAACTACCAGTAAATCAAGAGTGGATTGTGCTTTGTTTTACTCTGCACAAGAGTTTTCATCATTTTTTGAAAACCTGGCAACAGTAGCAACGGCATTTGTATTATTTAAGTCTCCAGTATTACACTCTGGATCACTTTACATTTGTAGTTGTCTCACTTAGCTATGCTTAGGTGTGAGCAGCTGCCCAATTCATTATTCCTTCCATTGTGGTCCTGATTGAGTATTTATTTACATATTAAAATTCACCTTGGCTGGGTGCAGTGACTCACACCTGTAATCCCAGCACTTTGGGAGGCTGAGGCAGGGTGAATCACTTGAGCCCAGGAGTTCAAGACCAGCCTGGACATCATGATGAAACCCTGTCTCTAGTAAAAATACAAAAATTAGCCACGTGTGGTGGCATCTGCCTGTGGTCTCAGCTACTTGGGAGGCTGAGGTGGGAGAATCACTTGAGCCCAGGAGGTTGAGGCTGCAGTGAGCTGTGACTGTGCCACTGTACTCCAGCCTGGGCAACAGAGCAGACCCTGTCTCAAAAACAAAACAAAACAAAGCAAACAACAACAACAACAAAGAAACAAAAAATAAAATAAAATTCACCTTATTTTATAACAAATCACTTTCCTTTTATGCCTTCTTTATTTTAAAAAGTCTCATGGGATAAAATAAAACATGGTATATCCATACAATGGAATATTATTTGGCAATAAATTGAATGAACAAAGTACTGATACATGCTACAGCGTGGATGAATCTAGAAAAAAATATGCTAAGTGAAAGAAGCCAGTTATAAAAGACCACAGCTGAGTTCATTTACATAAATGTCCAGAATATGCAGATCCACAGAGCCAAAAAGGTAGATTAGTGGTTGCCAGGGAATGGGAGGAAGGGGATTGGGGGTAACTGCCTACAGGTATAGGGTTTCTTTTGCAGTAATAGATACATTCTGGAATTAGATAGTGTTGATGGTTGACCACATACTATATGATTCCTTTTACAGAAATGTCCAGAATAGGCAAATCTGTAGACACAGAAAATAGATTTGTGGTGGCTTGGGGATAGGGAGAGGGTGAGCTGAGGTGGGGGATCGAGGGGACATAGCTAAGGTGATCAAGATTTCTTTTGGAGGCCAGGCTCGGTGGCTCATGCCTGTAATCCCAGCACTTTGGGAGGCAGAGGCCAGAGGATGGCTTGAGCCCAGGAGTTAGAGATCAGCCTGGGCAAGATGGTGAAACCCCATCTCTACAAGAAATAAAAATACATTAGCTGGATGCAGTTGTGTGCACCTGTAGTCTCAGCTACTCAGGAGGCTAAGGGATCACTTGAGCCCAGGAGTTTGAGGCTGCAGTGAGCTTTGACAGGTGCCACTACACTCCAGCCTGGGTGACAGTGCAAGACCCTGCCTCTAAAAAATGAAAGAAAAAAATTAGGATTTATTTTGAAGGCAATACAAATGTTCCAAAATGGATTGTGGTAATAGATGTACAACTATGTGACTATAATAAAAGCCAATGAACTGTACACTTTATTTATCATGTATTTTATGTTTCTTTTTTTTAAATAGACAGGGTCTTGCTCTGATACCCAGGCTGGAGCGCAGTGGTGTGATCAGAGCTCACTGCAGCCTAGTACTCCTGGGCTCAAGTGATCCTCCTGCCTCGGCCTCCTAAAGTGCTGGGATTACAGGCATGAGCCCCCATACTGGGCCTAGAGCTGTATACCTTAAATGGGTGGGTTGTATGTATGTGAATTATATCTCAATAA